GAATAAAAACTATAAATAGAACACATATTCCTGAATTAGTATGAGTGGAGATGATTTATATATATATATATATATATTTTTTTTTTTCATTTTCACAAACGAACCTAATGGAAACAGGAAGGACCAAATAAGGAAACACAGGACCAGAAACAGGGGCAAAACACAATACAGAACAGTCCAGAATCCTGACATATATCTACTATTATATATTGATATTTGTGATTTATATCTAAAAGTGTATCTAGACAGAATAAAAACTATAAATAGAACACATATTCCTGAATTAGTATGAGTGGAGATTATATATATATATATATATATATATTTTTTTTTTTCAAACAAACAAACAAACAAACAAATAAATGAATGATCATTGGTAAAACCTCTATTATATCTACTACAATATAATAAAATATTTGTAAATAAATAAATAAATAGATAGATAATAGGATGATTATTGGTAAAATGGCTATCATATCTACTACAACATTTATATCACATAAATAAATATGTTTAGAATAAATGATTAAATGACTATTGATAAATCATTGATTATATCTACTTCAATATAATAAAAGATTTGTGACGTATCTAAAAGGTGTTCTAGACAGAATACATGCATATTTCTAAATAAGCATCTACAGTATGGAGAAATATGCTTTTTTAAACCAAATGATGTAGTTACTCCCACCAACTAAACCCTGCTCCCTTTGTGGTATGGAGCCAAACTCCTTACACAAACCTGAAAGCAGAAAAGGAAGAGAGTGTCTTCTGTTTGGCTGAGGTTTTAATTGACTAGGGGAAAAAAAGATGTGCTGGCCACCCAACACTTTGTTGTTTACAGAGACTATGGCTGTCACAGAGACTTGGGGGAATTCTCAAGACACCTATTTCAGTTATATCTGTCAGGTAGCAGGAACATTGTATGCGTGGTATTCAAAAAAAGCACCTATTAAATAGCTTTTCCTATCAGAGTGTAATGTGCAAAGACAAGTCTAAATAAGCCTTTGGTAGGCTTATTTCCCCAAAGACTGTAAACACTGTGACTCCGCAGAGCTTTCAATACATGCTGTGCTTGTTTGCTGCTTTTCCACATGTCAACTCATGAATCAGTCAATGGCGTGAGTTTAATATTAGCTTTTTTTCACATTACTGCGGAAAGGGCAGTAGGAGTGTTTTGGAAACCTATTTGAAAACATTCATTCATTCATTCATTCATTCATTCTCATAGAAGTATTCCATCAGTTTGTGAATCATCAGTCTTTGAATTTGAATTGCAACATTCATAACTGAAATAACCAAATTTCATTGGTATAGAATGACAAATAAAATCGACTTAACATTAATTAAAGCAAGTGTGTAACTTAAACTTCAAAATACTTAAAATACCTTCTGAATGTTTTATATTTACACTACCATTTAAAAGTTCTGGTTTAGTTATTTTAATGCTTTTGAAAGAAGTCTCTTAATGCTCACCAAGGCTGCATTTATTTGATCAAAAATACAGTAATATTGTGAAATATTTTAAAATAATGCAATTTAATGATGACAAAGATTGTACTGCTTAATTTGGTGGTGATTCTTTTTTCAGGATTCTTTGATGAATAGAAAGTTCAAAAGAACATAATAAATGCTGTTCTTTTATTATTATTATTTGTTTTATTTGTATTTTATCAAGTATTGATCCAAATGTTGAAAGGCCTTGTAATATTTACATATTTATTCACAGATTTGACCATTTCAAATGAATATGGTTACATAATTTTGTAATTTGCCAGCTTTATTGACACTTTTTGCTGCATGTTATTGTTTCCTGTGGTTATTGCCAGCATAACCACAGCATATATATGGTTACAAGTTCCTAACCATATATATATATATATATATATATATACATTTTTGAACACAAGTGGGTATAAACTCACAAAACAAGTTCCTAAATAACCACAGCAAACAATAACATGCAGCAAAAAGTGTCAATAAAGCTGGCAAATTACAAAATTATGCAACCATATTCATTTGAAATGGTCAAATCTGTGAATAAATATGTAAATATTACAAGGCCTTTCAACATTTGGATCAATACTTGATAAAATACAAATATAACAAATAATAATAATAAAAAAACAGCATCACCAGCTCTCCCACTACTGGCTCAGAGCGCAGAGCTCAGCAGGTCTACTGAATTAGTTGGTTGTCTTAGAGGAAGCAGATTGTGGAATGATTCATAGATGTGTGCTCACTGTACATTTCCTCCTATGACTTCATCGCTGAACCACATCATGTGCAAAAAGCATAAGCAAAAACACAAGCACCCCAGCCTGCTAATATATTTCTCCTATTTGTTTCATTGCACCACATGCCTGCTATGGGTGAATTTGCAGCGACAGCGTTTGTCGAGTCTCCAGTGTGGTTTTAAATAAGATCTTCCTCTTGTAGATGAGAGGAGGGAGAAGACGCTTGTTTATGCAACCATTGGAGCTGAACAGCTAAAGCCTGGCTGAGCAGGTTTCTGCAATCTCTCTTAGTAAACGCACTGGAAAACAAATTTAAAAATGCCTTGAGATCACACAGGTGGTCATATAAGAAGTGCTTACAGTTGGATGACTTCTTCCAAGCGTTTCTGCCATTGTCAGGCATTGCACTCTCTCACTCTCTCAGGACTACATGAGCAATAAACACTTGAGAGGAAAGAAATGGAGTGACTTTCACTGCAGATGAGAGAGGACAAATGAGTGAATACATCAATGAAAAGCAGTAACATTTATTTTCAAGAGTTGTGAGCTTTTGGGTTAGCAGCACGCTGAGTTTGATCGCTTTGAGGAGCATTCAGTGCTCCAGTTATGAGTTGTGTGGTTTGTAATGATTAGATTGTACATCCTGCGGTGACAGTGCGTGGAAATGCAAAGCTTAACTCTGGTTGTCCTTTCTTTTTCTCAACTAGCTTCTCAGGACTCCAGACAAAGAGATTCAGAAAATAACATGTGGAGGCAAAAAAAGTTAACAGGAAATCAAACTTCATGTGTCTACTTTTTTTTTTTTTTAGAATACATTCATGGTCTTACTTTGAACAATTTATCAGTGCAAAGCCCAATCTTTCATAACAATTTCATAAAAACTGAAATTATTTCTTTCTTTTAGCTTAGTCCCTCTCTTACACACCGATCCATCTCACACTCTTAAAAATAAAAGTTATTTATTGGCACTGATTTGGAGAAATGTGGCATTGCATCACTTGCTCACCAATGGATGCTCTGCAGTGAATGGGTGTCGTCAGAATGAGAGTCCAAACAGCTGATAAAAACATCACAATAATCCACAAGTAATCCACAGCACTCCAGTCCATCAGTTAACATCTTGTGAAGTGAAAAGCTCAGTGTTTGTAAGAAACAAATCCATCAAGACGTTATATTTTAAATATGCACAGACCAAGCACCATTTATTAGCTAAAACTGTCCTGATTCAAATGAGATGACTTTTTTTTACTGGAGAACGCAATATTATGGATAGAGGACTCATATTTTAGCCAAAGCAACGGATTGAAATTAAAAATCTCTTAATGAAGGATTTGTTTATTACAAACACGCATCTTTTCACTTTTCAAGACATTAATTGATGGACTGGAATCATCGTCAAGTTAATTCTTTGTCGTCTAATTTTCTATTTTAAAATCAATTTTATACACCATCATTTTCGTTTATATAACGTGTGAATATATCCCCTATCGTATTCTACAACAAAAACAATCAGAGCGCCTTGTTATCACTAGTT